AATAGTTTTTTGATATTTTAAAATATTTAATTATTATTTTTTAAAAGAGTATTTATATTTTTCTCAAATTTCTATAATTTTCTATGATTTAAAGTTTAAGTTTTATATTTATTTAAATGATTTGAATATTTATAAATTTATTTAATGTAGTAAAAATTTCTAGAAATTATCTGTTATATTACAGATACTATTACATATCATTTTGAATAATACGTGGTATCATTATTATTATTACATATATTTTCGTATAATACGTTGTATTATTAATTACGTATTATTTGTACAATTAGTTGTATTATTTCTACAGTTACTCATTATCTGTCGTATTAGTATAACGGGTACATTTTACGGTGTACGTAATTATCCTATAATTATTGGATTTTAAATATAAGTAAATATATTTTATTTATTAATTATTTCTGTTTAATTATACAATATGGGTATATTTCGACTATTTCGTATCAACTGTTGTATTAGCACAACAGGTACGTTTTTATTTGTAGATAATTATTATGTAATTAGTTTAATTTTTAAATACCCATAAATATTTATTATAATTATTTTTGTTTTAAACCCTAACCCTAATATTATATATATATATATATATATATATATATATATATATATATATATATATTAAAAAAAACTGCAAAGATTTGACTGACATTTCAGGCTGTGCTTTACATGAGACTGATGACAGCTCTCCAGTTTATTTTGGGTGTTTTTTTAAGGATGGACTGTTATTGCAAAGCTAGAGAAAGTTGGAGTCATGGTAATAGCATTGTGTATATTGTGGATTAAAAAATGATAATTGTACTGTAAATTTTATACTACTAATTGTTGGAAATTTATCAAATAATTAAGATTATAGCATGTAGATAAATCCAAAAAAATAAACAATTAAAACTGACCTGATCGGGAGCAGTCGTGTATTCACTGCCCTAGAAGATTGAGAACCCGCCTATCGCCCTGGCGCAGATGGTTCCCTTCCCCTAGCGGTAAAAACCCCCGGAAACGGCCCGGCCTCTGCACTCGGGCGAGAGTGCAGAGCTTCAGCTCAGATGAATGAAGTTGCCCATAAAAAACTAAAATGTAGATGAAAATAATATGTAGGGGAGAGAAGAAAAACAAGAGAAACTTGTTGTATATTTTTCCTTATTATTTTGAGCTCAACATATGGATATATATATAGGGTTGGAAAAGACGTTACAAAACCCGTAATTAATTCCGTAACGTTCGTCATAAATTTTGTAACGTTCCCCATAATTATATGGCCGTTACACATATTTTTAATTGCTAATTAAAACATGTTTTAATTACAAAAATTTATTATTATTCATGAAGGCAAAATTGTCTTTTCTTAACAAAATATCTAACAGTCCCCCCCAAAAGGCAATATTGACTGAAAACTTAAAAATCAATAAATAAATTAATAAATCACAAAATGAAAATAGGTTGGGCAACCTTTCGTATCGTGAATTCGGGAGAGGTAGCTTTCGGCTTTGAACCTTTCCTTAGTGAGTTCATCGCCACCTGAGGGACATAATGGACTAGGCCTTGAATTAGGCCCCTTTAATCAGGTATTGATGAAAACACACACAATACGCTTCATCTATTGAGCAAAGCGGGTTGAGCGTTAAAGGCCATGCTCACAATAAACCGACTCATGAGAGTTTCTAGGGGTTAGCCCAGCCCCCCCTAACCGCGGCCATCACGGTTCCTCTCACGTAGGTAAGTCCTCAAAGGGTACTACAGCTGTTTATTTAATACCCCCCACAATACACGCGTTGGACTTATTAAGAGTAAAACTCAGCCTAGCCAGCTGTATCATAAGAGCATCGTCATCATAGAGAAGGGGTAGTAGCAAATGCTACATAATGATATATAAATATATCTAGGTCGATGCTCCACACGAGTGTCACTAGTCCAGCTTGTTTCTACCACATTGAACCGACATTGGGACTACGTCTCCAAATAAGGGTTGGGTTGCCGCTGTCAGTGACCTCATCTATGGGCTTAACCCCATCTCCCTCGATGAATCCAGAACCACACTCCTGGATAATCCCTTAGTCAAAGGGTCATCAAGATTCTTTTCACAGACTTTACAAAGTCTAGAATCATAACTTTGCCTAGCAGGCGTTGTATTTATTTATCAAGTTCTTATTTTGTAATTAGTCCATCATATTGTTTGAAATTGACATTAGGTCATGATCTATGATCATAAAAGATCATAGTCTATGTCTGAAGAGATTGACCTTAATATCTGAACATTTCAAACTAATGTGGAACTAAAAATTCTGCAGTTATGCATATGCACATACATGAATGAAATTAATAATAGATACATGCAGAGCATAATAGGATTTCGTATCTTAAAATATATTTTCGTATCTTAAAATATATTTCATACTTCATAATTCAAATGCATAAAATTTTTAAAATTCTTCTATTATAAGAGGTTACAAATTGGTTGCCTACAAAGGAGACCGTCCAAATTTAAATCGGTTGCCTACAAATGAGACCTTCCAAATTTAAATTGGTTGTCTACAAAGGAGACCTTCCAAATTTATGTTGCCATTTTCTAGTACCACCTCTTATACAAATAATAATAATAATTGTACATGCGTGCTTTAAAATTTTCAAATGCATTCTTGCATAAAACCTTGCAATTAATCATGTAACAAATGCAAGTTATCCAAAAGATATATGAACATTTATTGCAATAATCCATCATAATGCAATAAAAGAGATGGACTTTACATTTGAAGATTTGAAATATAATCCACCATATAAAATAGAATTTTAAAAATGCACCTCTTTGATTTGTTCGCTCATATATTGATCATTTATCATTAGGCAATATATGATGCAAGAAGCGTAATTAAATAAATGCATATGAATTATTCTCATAATTCCGGTCCTCTTATTCCAAAAACTCCTAAAGTGAAAAGATTAAAGTTTTACCTAGGTAGTTAGCCAGGTAAGGATAGTAATAGAGGTTGATCAAAGATCAATTAAGTACCTCGTTCCTTCCAGAGCGCGTTACGCAACCCTTAAACCTTGCCTTAGACACCAACTAATCCAAGAAAACTTGAATCGGTTCACTCAATGAGTTTTTGTTTCTTAACAGTAACAGAAAACTTTAAAATATTTTCTGCAAGCATTTGATTTGCCTAAGCAATTATACTGCAAGCATATGTTGGATAAGGCCGAGGAGGGGTTTACCTATTGATGTTCGAACCTCATGATTTTCATGTCTTGAGAGTAAAAACTCATCTGCTGCAGACAACTGCCACTTAAGTTGCTGAACAAATCTGCATTCACTTTTACCACCTTCTGTACTAAGCTTATTAGATGCATAAGCACTCCAAAGTATGGAATTATTAATAATAGAAGGTACCATATTGATAGGTTAAGGAAATGAAAGCATTAAACCATGAAAAAAAAACAATCCAGATATTTCAAAGCATCTATGCATCCAGAGTTTGTTCTCTTTATTCTTGTCAAAACCATGCATATGAAATTTTTTAAGAATAAAAAAATATACACTGCTGCAAATTTATAGCATGTTTCAAATGCGTGTATATTCACTAGCACAAGGGATAAGGGTAGGTTTTAGATGATTCTAACAAATATAAACTAGGCTTTTAGAAACCAATAAAGGTTCTTTGATATTCGTAACTTACAATAATTATTGATTATAAACTAACTATAAGAAAAATGTAATTAACTGTTTAATTGAATTAACAGAAATATTTAACTACAATTTTTTAATTATTAATTTAAAAAAAAAAAACCAAAACTGTTTACATGAACAGTAACTTTTTAAATAAAATGAACAGTGCCGTTTTCAAAATAAATGAACAGTAACATCATTTTTAAAATTAAACAGTAACATCATTTTTTTTAAGAATGAACAGTAACGACATTTTTATAAATGAGCATTAACATTCTTAAAAATAAATAAATAGTAACGTTTTTTAATTAAAGCAACTAATTACAAAATTTTATTTATTTAGGATGAATAGTAATAGTTAAATAATTTTTTAAACAGTTACTAACAGTAAATTATTTTATAATGAGCAACAATTCTGATTAAATTGCGAACAGTAATAGCAAATTTTTTTTAATTCGGATGAACAGTACAATCTCAAATGAACAGTAACTTTAAAAATTATTTTTCCGGATTTAAATCAAAAGCTATAAACATCTCAATCTTCTAGATTGTTGGGAATTTATCAAATAAGTTAAATTATAGCATGCAGATAAACCCGGAAATTAAATAAATAATACATCAAAGATAGATAATATAAATTAGAGAAACAGGCCTGACGGGAGCAGTCGTGTAAACACTGCCCTAGAAGATTGAGGACCCGCCTATCGCCCTGGCGCAGATGATCCCTTCTCCCCTAGCGGTAAAAACCCCCGGAAACGGCCCGGCCTCTGCACTCGGGCGAGAGTGCAGAGCTTCAGCTCAGATGAAGAAGTTGCCCATAAAGTAAAACTAAAGTATAGATGAAAATGATATGTAGAGGAGAAAAGAAAACAAGATAAGTTTTTCCACATTTTTCTTCATGTTTCTTGAGCTCAACATATGTTGTTTATATTGGGGTTGAAAAGAGCCGTTACAAAATCCCTCAATAAATTTCGTAACGTTCGTCATAATGTATAGTCATTATGCCCATTTTAATTACAAATTAAAACACATTAAAACATATTTTAATTGCATATTTTAATTACAAAAATTTATTAGAATTCATTAAGGCAAAATTGCCTTTTCTTTAAAAATATCCAACACAAACTCCATATTTAGCCAATGCCACTTAACCTTACCTCTACAAATATTTCTGTTTTTCTGTTGATCAACGCTAAATAGTTGCTAATATTAGAGAAACATAGAAATACAGTTTTTCCTTTCTAATAAAGGCGTATATTCGGTTAACAGATCTCTCAACAGCTATCTCGATAACTGGACAACCGATTCCTTTCATCTTAATCTTCAATATAAATTCTAATCCTCTCATTCTTTCTTTTTCAATTCCATATCAAATTTATTCCAGCTTTCTTCTTCTTTTGTTGAGCAGAAGCTAGCAGTCTTCGTGCTCAAATGGCTCAAGCCTCAGAGATGAACAATAGCGTGTTGAATTCGACAACTCCTAGTGTAGAGCTAGAGTGTTTCTCCCCTTATATGATCATCACCAATGGAATATGGCTTGACGACGATCCTCTAAGATACTCTCTCCCTCTTTTCCTTATCCAACTCCTTATAATAACGCTGACCAGTCGCACTCTTAATGCTATCTTGAAACCCTTTGGCCAGCCTATGGTCCTCGCTGAGATCCTAGTATGTTGATGCAAACAAGTATCATATTTTTCTTATTTCAATATTAAATTTTGATAGATGATGATTTTTGACATTTACAAATGCAGGCAGGGATGCTGCTGGGACCATCTTTTGTGGGAAAATTCTTTCAAGGATTTCAGGCTCATTTCTTTCCACCAAGAAGCATCAGCATACTGTCGTCGATGGGTAACTGTGGCCGTGCCCACCGCATCGGATCCGACCCGTGCCGTCGACGTTGAATCATTCGACGAACCCCGAGGCAAGATCCATCTTGCTCGTTGTCTCATTAATTTAATCTTTTATCTCAATTATGAATTTATTACGTATGTGCGTGGATTAGTTTGTGCTGATATGATATTAATTATGTGGTTGTTGGAAATTTTGCGGTGAATATATTCTGCGAAACGATGAATAAGTATGTTAAAAATATAGATTATGGTTAATTTCGTGTTGTTTGAAAGGAAGAATATATTTATGGAGTATTTTTAGAATTATTTATAACGAGAAAAATATTTTAAAAGGAATTATTTCGAGAAAATAATTTATTTTGAATAAGGAGTATTATTGAATAATTATTATGATTAAAAGAATTTTATTTTGAAAAAAAATATTTTAGATTAATAATAACAAATAATTTTAAAGGAAAATATTCTTGGAATTAATAACTGAGATTTTGACTTTCGTGTGCAAAATATCTGTTAATGGTAGTTTCATCTTGCATTGTTAATAATAGCTTTACTCTCGTATGTTTCTTGCATGTGATCACGACCTCTGTTCACACTTCATGACTTTGACACTTAGCGTAATTACATTTATTATTCCATATTGAGAATCATGAGAAGTACATGACTATAGTGACCTGTATGACATATTTAGGATCCAGAATCTCGTGTGTAGTTGACCTGCAATTACGAGAATTAGGGTGAGAAGTCTTGGTCCATGTGAGCGGTTGGGATTGTTGATGTATTTTCCAGGCTCGCGCCGGTGAAGTTTGTGTAGTCACCAGGGTGGGTTTGAGGAGTTGAGATATTTGTGAATGTTGATGTATTTTCCAGGCTCGCGCCGGTGAAGTTTGTATAGTCACCGGGGTGGGTCTGAGGAGTTGAGATATTTGTGATTGTTGATGTATGTTCCAGGCTCGTGCCGGTAAAGTTTTTGTAGTCACCGAGGTGGGTCTGAGGAGTTGAGCTATTTGTGATTGTGGTTGTATTCCGGGCTCGCGCCGGTGAAGTTTGTGTAGTCACCGGGGTGGGTCTGATGAGTTGAGATATTTGTGTATTCCGGGCTTGCGCCGGTAAAGTTTGTGTAGTCACCGGGGTAGGTCTGAGGAGTTGGGATATTTGTGATTGTGATCTATCAGTTATCCGATAATATGAGCTAGTGACCTGTTGTAGGATGACTAGTTACATGACTTAGATTCTTGGCTAAGTATGATTCTTGTGAGACGTAGATCAGTTGTATTTCTTTCCATACATAGATCGGAATTAATATTTAATTATTTACAATTCGAGACATATGATATATACATGAGGGTTTCCTTGTTTGGATTATTTCGTTCGACGTACTACGTCTCGAGTTGTAGATTTTTAAGTATTAATTCCATCTATTGTATAACCTTGTTGCTTGGATGGTTTCTGATCGCTACCTGCATGATCTTGTTACTTGGTTGATTTTTGGATTCTTCTGATTATTAGTATTCCAGTTGCATGCCACTATCGTTATTACTATCATCACATGTTCTATTTCTATTTCTGTTATCGCATTGACCACACATATATTATCATTACTGTTATTGTATTTGTTCCTGCCTTGAGGGATCTTGCCGTGTGTTATACACGCTGACGTACTCTTATTTTCTAGGTGTACGTCAGATTTAGGAGACAGACAACCTCAGTTTGGAATCGTACAGCAGCCAGAGGATTCTCAGCCGGGTGCCTTACAGAAGGAGTAGAAGAACCAGCTGAAGTGTAGTGGTTTTCTTCCGTAGTAGTAGTTGGACATTAAAACTCTTTTACCGTATTTTTCTTTAGTTGATGTAGGACTTAGTATTTTAATAGTATTTTCTTTATGGACTATGTATTTCTTATTTCCTAGTTGGACTATTTTGTATGGACTATGTATTTCTTATTTCCTAGTTGGACTATTTTGTAATAAGGGTATGTTGGACCCATATTTTATGTCTGGGATGATTTACTGTTGATGATATGTCTATTCCTTATTTTGAGTTATCTTTATATTCTTGCTATTTGTGATCGGGGACCTGTGACTTCGTATTGTATTTATTTATAGACGCTTAGCGTATTGGATTGAGAAGAAAAGAAAAAAAGGTAGTGTATATTTCTTCTGAATCTAATACGTCGCGAGCTTGTTCATGTTCCGATTCCTGGGTATTTTGGGAAGCGGGGCATGACAGCAGAGAAACTCACTTCAGACGTGTATTGGAAGGATATAGTGATAGCTGTTGATCTTATATTAGAATAAGACCGAGGGCCTTTTTTTAACTTGCTGAAGTAATGAAAGCAAACGGTTTATTGAAGGATACAAGACATGTTCAAGTTGAAGAAAAACTGGCTATGTTTCTAAGTATTGTGGGTCATAAAACTAAAAATAGAATAATAAGGACTGAGTTCATAAGATCAGGAGAAACGGTTAGCATGTATTTCAATAAAGTCCTATAAGCAATGAATGAGTTACGTGATCGCTACATGAAGCAAGCTCCAAATTAAGTTCCCATGGAGATTGCAAACAACTCAAATTATTTTCCTTACTTAAGGTAAATTAAATACATACATCTTAACTTCTCTTATAAAAAAACAACCTTTTTATTGAACTTTGTATAATTTATAATTTTGTATCGGACTACAGTGGTTTGATAGATGTCACACACGTCGACGCAGTGTTACCTAGTGATCTAGTTGTATGGTTTAGAGGGCGAAAAGGGGTGATACAAAACATCTTAGCAGCCTGCTCCCCCATTAAACTTTTTACCTATGTCTTAGCTGAGTGGGAGGGAACAGCAAATGACTATAGGATATTACAAGACACTCTGTCGAGACCACAGCCTTACAGGCTCCGAGTTTATGATGGTATTCATTCTCACTTATGCACATTTTTGAATAATAAATTAAATACTTGTCAATAATTAAGATTAAGATACTGTCTAATTAATGTAGGTAAATATTACCTATGTGATGCTGGATACACCACAATGCCAGGCTTCGTCTCCCCATATTGCGGTGTACTGTATCATTTAAAAGAACACACCGGTAGGACACCAAAGAATAGGAAAGAGTTGTATAATTTAAGGTATTCCTCTATATATGTAACAATAGAACTATATATGTAACAATAGAACTATATAAGGTCTGTCTATCATCGGGGAGTAGCACAAGTAGCCCATCCACAATAAATCCTACATAAAAACCTAGACAACTATTCTATCTACATCATCATCATCATCATCATCATCATCATAATAATAATAATAATAATAATAATAATAATAATAATAATAATAAATTTGCACACATAATGTTGTGCATTTTAGCCGTTTATGCAACTTCTCTTCCACCATTAGACCCCTCATGTTGGTATGAGCCATCCATTAACAGGTGCTTGAGCTATAGTTACCAGTAACTAATGACAAAAGAAAGCAGATCCATCACTTTTTTATATCAAATAAAATATTAGTATAATCTCACTTTGTTTTGAGTAGATGAGATATGATATATCCCTCCACACTCTAGGTTGTTACACTGATGATATTGTACACATCTAAGCTAATAGCTATGATCTGAGTATTGTTAGACTCTAGGGGGGGGGGGGGGGTTTAGAATATAAGCGAGGATAAGCAATATGAACAACAAGATATATCCTAACAAAGAGATATAGGCAATGTATGTGCAAGGATATAAAACTAACACAAGGTGATATATCCTACCAAAGAGATATACAATATGATATATGTAAGGATATGTAAACTAACACAAGGGTAAACAAAATGAACTAGATAGTGGATGAAATAAATGAGCAATGCACAATTGGCGATATAAGATAAATGCAAAAGCAAATGCGCCAATGACAAACTCAAACACACTCAAATGATCACGGAGTTCGGACCTTTCGTCCTACGTCTCTGCTCCCCACTCCCGGGGAGAAATCCACTATCACAACCGGGTTTTCTACGTTCACCCGAATAACGTTTACACCTCACAGTATCGGTTTTCAACGCTCACCGAACAACGTCACTCCTCACAATCGGTTTTCTAGTTTACCGAAAACTTCACAGCACACTCGGTTTTCTAGCTCACCGAAAACCTTACAACACTCACAATGTAACAAATATAAATTTGTTCTCTATAATAGATGAGAACTCAATTAAGCACAACTCAATGTTACAATCTCTCACAACCCTAATATACTATATATGCAAATACAATAAGCTCAAGTGGGTGTGTGTAACAATGAGATAAAATCAAATCAACTAAACTCAATATAAAACTAGCTTTAATAGAAATGATAATCAACAAATAATTATAAATAAAAATGCCAAGATGGAGAGATGGAGATTGAAGCCCAAACAAGAAGATAATCTCCTCCACTTGTGAAAACCAAAACAGCTTTAAACCAAACTCAACCTAACCATAAACCATTGTTAAAAACTTTCTTAAACTTGTTTAAAACACTCTCATGGTTACTGAGATAGAAGGGGGTTTGGGGGTTTATATAGGAAGAGGAAACAACAGTAAAAACCCCAAATAAATGACAAAAAAACCCCAGCCAACGGTAACAAGAAATAGCCGTTAGAAAGGATCTGACAGAGCGGAGGTCGACCGCGGCGGTCGACCGCGAGCAATCAGAAACAGGAAAAAAAGCTCTGGACAAGCGACGGTCGACCGCGGCGGTCGACCGCGAAACTCTCTGGACTTACGACGGTCGACCGTGAGCCAGCAAAAATAGTTCTGAGTTCAGAACTCTTGGCGGTCGACCGTGGCAGTCGACCGCGAACTGACACTACAGAAAAATAGGTTTTAAGATAGATTTTGAGACTTTTGAAAATATGTTAAAAATAACAAATGAAGTCCAAAAATAATAAAACTTTGGGAAATGTATATAAACATGTAAATGAACATGTTACAAAAAGAATTTTCCAAATTGCATTTCCCATTTATGAAAAATCATCATTTTGCAAAAATAGTCCAAAACACGAAAATGTAAACATGTGAATTTTGATATTTTGGCTAAACCATGTTTTGAAACTTTACACAATGGTTATATAGACTTAATAAAATATGTATATGATTATAGTTAAGTCCAAAAACTAAGAATTATATATATATATATATATATATCCGAAGAAACCAATAAATGTGTGTGTATAGATATTGAGCTTAACGTACTTAACACACATAATATAAAACCTATACTAAGTTACCCAAGCTAGATCTTGATCTTCAATAAGTTCGACTTGGTACACTTGCGGATGAAGCTGATCTTGGATCTTGAACTAGAATTGCATAAGCTTCACCGATATTCCGCCAACCTCCTTTGGATATGATCGTTGAAGCTCTATTCCATCCATCCTCCAACTACGTTGTTTGTCTATAATAAATAAGAAAACACAAATACTAGACAAATAACATTAGTGGTAAATTGTTTGTTAAACATCATCAAAACAAGAAGGCCAACAAGTATGTCTAGGATCTAGAATTTAGTAGCCTAGATGCATCAAACGTTTCAACCAAGAGCGCACACCTCATACACCAAATAATTTTTGCTCTTATTTTTTTTTGGTTTTTCCACCTACGTCCCCCAAAGATCTATACGGTGTTCTAAATTTATAACTCAAAGCTTCTAATTTGCTAATTTATTCCCCTATTTAAAATTAGATATCTAAGTTACGACTCAATTATTCTGGTTGATTTTGGCCAAGGTGATTCAAAAGGTGAACAATATATTTATTATTTTCCATTTTAAACGAGTTGAGTCCTCCCTCGCTCTTTCCAAAGTAAAAACGTAAAATTTATTTATATTTCCATCCATACAAATATGATAACTTCAAAATACAACTATGCTCATGATCTATTTGTAGCCTCATTATTGCAGGTGAAGTGAGGAGAAGATCGGAGATTTTCTTTTTTGGGGACTCCGGAGAAGAGATTCAATTACTTATTGATTGATATCAGAGGAGAATAACACATCTCTATTTATGGGCATCCATCTCACCCTACGTCCCCAAGAAACTACCCTTGATTTCCCTCCCGATATTCCTCACGTAAGTTACATTACGTGAGACTCGTTCCCCAACGGGAAAAAAAATTCCCTGAACGTGAGATATTCCTAACAAAACGGGTTGAATTCTTTAATGGGTCGGGTAACAATTTGGCCCATGAGGCCAAAACCACTTATATCTCCCACTTGGCCGAAATGGTCAAATACTTTTCAAGCACACTCCCACTTTCCGTGGGATATTACTCAAGTTGTAATTCCATACTCCCACTATCCGTGAGATATATGTATTTTTCACTCTACGTGAATGAACAGAGTACAACTATTATTCATGATTATCTCCTTTAATTATTCATGAAAGTTTCATTGACTTAGACATTTCTAAGTCCCATCAAACCAACATGTTTGATGAATGTACTGTTTGCGGTGAAAGTTGATGTTTTCATTGTTATCGAATCTATTACAACTTTAGACGTTACAATAAACTCGAATGAAATAAAAAGTTGATCTTTTTATAAGATCTCCTTACACAATGAAAATAAAAAGTTTATAACTTTATCAAACAAACGCAGAGATCGTTTATCGGTCTTCTGCTTGCGTGGGATCTTTGCCTATGCCGGGGTTTATCCGTGGACTACCGTCGATCAGATCTGATTGCTGAAAAATTGGGCAGAGCTTCGTCTATCCGCAAAGGGATCGAGAAACCGTAGCTCTTATCTCGGCGAAGCGAGATAATCACTCTTCTTAAGATTACCGCAACGGGATAATCCTAATGAACGAACCGGGCTGCAGATCTAACTCCTCCTCCACTCTGAAATCTGTGCACTTTAAGTCTTCAATCCAGCAGGGCTTCGTCGAGGCACGAGAATTCCAGATCTGAAAAAAGTGAAGACCCGGGGCTGTATTTATAGGCTCCAGGAGGTTTCGGGCGGTTAAAACTGCATAACGGGCCTTTTCTGTATAGGCTCCAGGAGGTTTCGGGCGGTTAAAACTGCATAACGGGCCTTTTCTGTGTTGGAGACACCCCATGGTGTCTCAACCTGAGCCGAGACATCCTAGGGTGTCTCAGCCTTAGCCGAGACACCTTTGGGTGTCTCGTTGGTCCGAGACACACCGTTGTGCCTATTTGTCCGCTTCCGCTGTAAATTCTTCGTCCGAACTCGGATTTGAGTGGTTCGAAGTGCGTTGGAAAGCCGACGAGGAGTTCTATCAGCTTCGATGGTTGGATCATCTTCGTTATTCCAAAATTCTGTTAGTTCACGTAGTTCGTCGATTCACTTCAAGCATTCACCGACATCAATCAAACTCCTGTGAACCGGATAGTGACATTCATCGTTGTTCCTTAACACTGAGCTGTTCGTGGAGACCTATAGGCAATTTTCGATGCCTACAGATACCCCCTCCAAAGCGTTCCAGACTCGTTTCTTTTATAGAAGAGGCTGGAATACTTTGGATATGATTGGTCTAGCCTTCAGTCGGCGTAAGGGACCTGTCGTTAGCTTCGATTCTTGACTCCTTCGATTTTCAGTCTACTCGATGTTTTGGTGAATAGCTGAAATTCTTCCGGCGCTGCGTTTATCGTCTGGCCATCGTCGAAGTCTCAAATCTATAACTGATGAGTTGAGTTTGGCTCGTGTCATTGAGTTGACTTTTTGATCGCAACGCGTTGACTGACGTTGACCTAGGGTTACACGTTGACCGGCGTTGGCCCTAGGGTTTTGAACATCGTAAGTTGACTTTTTGATCGTAACGCATTGACTGGCGTTAACCTAGGATTACGCGTTGACCGGCGTTGACCTAGGGTTACGGATTGCTCGGTGTTGACTTTGGGTTTCAGACCGCCTGACGTTAACACAGTTTATACTCGTACGTTTACTGGAGTATACACAGTTTAAGCTCTTAAGGTATTGGATCACGGCGGTCCCAAGTGTCGGGGCTACAGGACCAACTGTTAAAGTTGATTCATCTGCATTTGTGGATCTTATCTTAATGTTGTTGGATAATCGAGTCACGAGACCAACTAACAGAGCTGATGCATCAGTGACTCGCACTTATAGAATTTTTGGCAAATTCTCAGCCATCAACGGGTTTGATGAGCCTTTACCGACTACCGTTTGAGTCGGGCTAGCATGCAAATTGTTTAGATCCGTTCTGCACATAACGTTTTGTAAAAGAGTTAACTCTTTTAGTGCTACGACATTGAATACGTAGACTTCGTCTTTCTCACGGGAATAGACTACCCGGCAACGTGTGTTAGACGCAGGCTTAGGATTTTTGGCAAATCCTCAGCCCTCAACGGATTTGATGTGCCTTTACCGACTACCGTTCGAGTCGGGCTAGCAAGCGGATTGTTTACATCCGTTTCAAATGTGACGTTGTGCTAAAGGAATGAACTCCCTTAGACTTGATGCTACGACTTCGAATACGTAGACTTTGCCATTGTTACGGGAACAGGCTACCCGGCAACGCGTGTTAGGCGCTGACTTATCCTTACTTAGGATTCAGGATAAAAGTCCCCAGACTCGGATTCTGGTATCTTCTTCAATCGGTAAAAGACTAAACCAGCAACGCGTGTTAGGCATTGGCTTATCCCTGCTTAGGCTTCGGGATAAAATTCCCCATGCGTGTGAGGTACGGATTATGGTGTTATTAATAACAACCTGTCACAACGTTGAATATGTGGTCTTTTGTCCTTTTTACGGTCAAAGACTAACCGGCAACGCGTGTTAGGCGTTGACCTATTCCTACTTAGGATTCGGGATAAAATTCCCCATGCATAAAAGGCATAGATTTTTGTTGCTACGATGCTGAATACGTAGACTCAGTCGTTTTTACGGGAACGAACCACCCAGCAACGCGGGTTAAGCGTTGACTTATCCCTACTTAGGCTTCGGGATAAAATACCCCAGACTGGATTCTGGTGTTTTTTCAATCGGTAAAAGACTAAACCGGCAATGTGTATTAGACGTAGGCTTATCTCTATTTAGGAGTCGAGATAAAGTTCCCCGTGCATAGGATGTACGGATTTGGAGTTGAGAATTGTGTCTTCTCCCAGGGTAAAGACGAACCCAAAATGGAAGAGGAAGAATTTTATATTCTATCTCCCGGCACCGAAGAGGAAGAATTTTATATTCTATCTTCAGTTGGAAAGGAAACTCAAAGTGGGATCTCCACCCCCAGAATCCGGAAAGATGAAACTAGGAGTGGGATCTCCACTCCGAGAATCGGAAAGATTTAAGTAACCCTAACTTTTATAGGATTGGTTGCTTGATCCAAGAAAAGAGTTCCTTATTTATTGAGGGGAAATTCCGATTTCGACCCTAACTTTTACAGGTAAAAGATGGAAGTCTTTCGTTTATCGAAAGGGATAACTCAATCTTAGTCCTAACTATCTGCAGGTTTGACTAAGTGAAGTTGGAGACAATCCTAACTTTTATAGGTTTGATTGCTCAATTGAAAGTGGACCTCTCGTTCATGAAAGGAATCGAGAGGAGAATCTGGTTGTGGCCCTAACTTTTATGGGTTTGACCAAGGAGGCAGTGGAAGTGGGAGGTTTGAGACGATCTTACCTTTTTATAGGCTTGATCATTCAATTTGAAAGTGGACTTCTCGTTCATGGAAGGAATCGAGAGGGGACTTTGATTGTGGTCCTAACTATAGGAAGGTTTGACCAGGTAGACAGTGAGAGTGGGAGTACAAATCACAGTGGGGGTTTAGTGTTTATCACTTTGTTTGTAATGATCGGGTTATCCCTAAGAAAATTACATATAGCGTTCTTCCGGGAACTTCCTATTACATGAATCATCCACCCCCAGCTTCTTTCTTGGAACTGGGTCTGACTTTGTACTCCGTTACATGTCCGGGTTATCCTTAAGAATTTTAGCGTAACATTCTCCAGGAACTTCCCATCAACGGTAGGAAACAGTTTAGACTCATATACCTATTGGAGTATCAGGGAGCAGTTTAACCACATATATCGATTGGAGGATTAAGAAGCAGTTTATACTCGTATACTCTTCGGAGTATTGCCGTTCTTATTTGGCTTATCCTAGCGTTATGACGCCGGCTTCAACCAAGGTTTGGATGCTATTCTTTAAAGTAAAGCAAGCCTTGGTGGGATGAAGGATCCTCCTGTGGTACGCGCAGTACTTCAGATCTGCAGTATTGTCAGCTTCCTCCTGATTTGTGATGGGCGGCAGCTTGATCTTTTTGTTTTCAAGAAGGGTATCGAAGATGGCTGGAACGTCTTCGTCCTTGAATGAGTACTCTTTTTGGAGCCTCGGATCCGAACTATTCTGCTGTCTTCGGGACTGCTGTTGCGACGTCTAATTAACGTTAACAACTGTTGTAGGTGTCTTCCCTTCATTATGGGAAACGAGACCCGGATTCAGAGGGTTAGTCATCGGTTGGCATCTTTCAACCTTCCTCCTTCTGAGAAAGCGTTCGGCCTGCTCTCCGCACACCTTCAACTCTTTCCAGGTATTGAGCGGCTCTACTCCCATAACGTCTAAGATATTAATGGACAAGTTGTGATGACAAGTCTGCAAGATGAATTCCTCCGTGACGGGATCCTTGCAGTTCATTGCCTGATTACGGAATCGTTTGATGAAGGTATCCACCGACTCTCTGTCTTTTTGTTTCTCATCGAAGAGTGTCATGATCGATACTTCAGCATCATCATCGAAGAAATGAGTGAGGAACATGCTCTCCAGGTCCTCCCAGCTGTTGATGCTTCCGGGCTTGAGACGGCGGTACCAATCGAAGGCGGGCCCGTGAAGGGTGCCAACAAATGACCGGACCATCAAGGCTTCATTGCCGGAGATCGTGCCCAAGTGGGAATTCAAATAGACCAGATGCTGAGTGGGGGAACCCTTCCCGTCGAACGGCGTGAAGTTGATCAGGTTGAACTTCGTCGGATACGGGATCGATTCTCATTCTCCTGGGTAAGGAC